TATATATATATATATATATATATATATATATATATATATATATATATATATATATCAGACATACTACTTGATGTGGCCAGTTATTTATTCGACATTCTGGTTGGTGTGTTACTTCTATATATCATCAGTGAGCACATGCACATGCAAAGAAGGATGATCAGACTTCAATCTGACGAGGTTGTGATGGGTATGGGAAATGTGTAAGAATGTACCACAAAAGAAATTAAGTGGCAAACAAACATTTGAGTTGGACACACAGCAATTGGAACAAGTGATGGAACATAGAAGTTACTTTTGGATTTTTGACTATAAAAGAAGTGTTAAAGACAAGATCTTTGAATGATTTCAGCCTTGATATAATGCAAGATGAGTCAGTGGCTTTGGATTAGTTTGTGCTGAATTATCATGAATTGCAATAATACATATCTACACATTACTAAGTAGCTTTGTTTATTTCTTATATCTTATATTTTAAGTAGCTTTTCAGATGAGAGTGATTTTATCCCATAAATTTTTCATTTGGTTGTAGCATAGGTTTCCTTATTAGTTCTTGAACTTAGTTACAGATTTAGTTGTGTATTCTTTTAAATCGTTAAACTGTTTCTACAACTACATACAGCATACACACTTTGTGGAATCTCAATCACGGGCGGCACTGTTAACTGTTCTTCAGAAATTTGAACAATTTATCCAGCTTCGCTTAAATACTGCATAAGTGTTGTCTGATCCACTTTCAGTTGGAGGCACTGTCCTCACACTCAAAACCCATTGGTTTACCAAACTCGATGACGTATGCAACAGAGGTATAGAATATGTAATGTGTTGAAACAATGGATCCAGATCCTGTGACCTTGTAATGAGCCTCGCAAAATAATTTTTCCTAGATAACACCAAATGAACAGCTAAAAATTGTTAAGATATATGTCTGCCAAAGTTTTGCCAGTTATAGCTTTAAAGGTTATGTATTGGTTGCAGTTATGCATTCTAGTTGCTGGAGCACTTGGAGGGAGGTTTGACCATGAGGCTGGAAACCTCAATGTATTATTCAAGTTCTCAAACATCCGGATAGTTCTTCTATCTGATGATTGCTTGATCCAACTTCTACCAAAGACGCATTGCCATGAGATCCACATCCAGTCATCAGCAGAAGGTCCACACTGTGGATTGATTCCTGTTGGCGCACCATCAGTTAGCACCACTACGACTGGTCTTCGGTGGGATTTAAGTATATCCAACTCTAACCCTATATCTTAGGATTTGGCACACTTCCAATAGATACCTAAGATGTTCACCTGTTTCTTTGCAGCCAACGCAGGGATGAGTTTTGGTGGCTTGATGAGCACTTCAAACATGGTCCGCGAGGAGAGAATTACTGTCCGTTCTGATTCAGATCTTCTCTGGACAATATCCATTAAAAAGAAGGCCTGAGACGTATACCGATTTGTTTGATTTAATTTCCACAGGTTGTGAAATCAATGGTGAATCAGGTTTATACCGACAAAAAAACTCGTCCTCGTGCTCTGATTACAAGGGAGAGTATTCATCATGTGCAATATGTATTGACTAGCAAGCAAGTATACTCCCAGCTTGTCATGCTTGAATTCCACAGATTTGTATCATTTGTTAAGAGTGCCTCTTGTGCAGGAACTACTCATAGTGGTTTAATGCAATGAAATATAGATTAGAAGATCTCTTGGTGAAGAGCATTCCTTTGAACTTTTTGTTGAGTCATGTTTTGTGCCATGATAATGTTCCTTTTGCCAATGTTTTGCCTTTTTTGGTTAACATAAGAGAAGTATTAACCATTTGTGTTTTGTTAATACTTGTCATAGCTTTAGTCGTTGCTCAAGTCATGACCGGAGGATATTACTTGCATTATGCCAATCTTACACTTTATTACCCATTTCAAACTTCAATTTTGACCGAGTCCGACGCCCAAACATGCGCGCTCACAACGGTCGAATTCCGGACTCAAGATCATCATCAAATCCGGTGAAACGCAACGCTTCAAAGTTCAAACCCTCTCCTTCAAATTTCGAACGCCCAAAACCCTCTTCACCCGCATCACCTCGATCCCTTCCAAGAACGAGGAAGAAGAGAAGAGATGGCTCTGAGATCCCTCGACAACGCTCTCCCCACGTCCATGGAGCGGCCCAGGAAGGTCGCCAAGGTCGCCACCCCTCCTCCTCCCGCGGTGGCCAGGAAACCTGCCCCCGCCGAGCTTGCTCCCGATTCCCGCGTGAGCGAGGAGAAAGCGCCTCCGCTCCCGGCCGTGGAGCAGTCCGTCGAGTACGTCGTTTCCGAGGAGATTACACCCCTTTCCGATCCCCACACCAAGATGGCGGTATGATCCGCGGAATTCCTGTGAATTTTGAGTGGATTTTGGACATCTCTAATGTTGAAAATGGCAGGTTTTGTTGGATGAACTGAATTCGAAAGATTGGATGAGCGTGTGTCAAGCGCTGAATGATTTACGCCGGATGGCTCTTCATCACTCTTCCTATTTGGTCCCGATCTTGTGAGTTCGACTCTTCTCTCCTCCCTATGTACTTTTGTTCGTTGGGACAAGATGAGAGCCGTAAGGGCAAAGCTCCATTTGATAGCACTTTCTAGTTGTTGTTGGTGTGATGTGCCATCTTTGCTGGTTGGAGATGGATTTAAGATAATTGCTAAATGAACTATCTTGTGGATTGTTTGTGGAATTACAGAGACGGTAAGTTAAAAGGTGTTTGTTGATTTGCCGGAGTGGGAAGATGCTAAACGATTGAAACTCACGAGTTAATGATCATAATATGTTGAGTCTGTGCAGTAAGGTTTGTTCAATTCAGAGGACAATTAGCTTCTTTTTCTTCAATGAAACAAATATTACGCCGGAAAGTGGGCTTTCAGAGAAGTGAAAATTGGCGTTGAAAAAGGAAGAGATAGGGATCAAAGAAAGCTATCTGCTATCGAGAAATTATCCATATGAGATAATTAATTAACATGGAGAAATGAAAAGAAAAAATATAATGTAGGATTTAGTTGCTCAGTTAAAGATCCATATTTCTGATTCGTGCCATGACTCTGAGTACGAAGCCTCCGAAAGGGAGTCTGGGTAGATAATAGCTCTGAACTCTGTTAGTACATTTCAACATTACAGTGTGGAAATTTTCCATGTCTTAATGGCTGGTGAACAAGGTCATAAAATAGGTAGAATATACTTCACAAGTTAACTAACATTTCTTTTGGCTAATTTGACCTTTTTTTATGATTAGAGGAAATGTGGCAGAAGTGATTGTTAAAGCAATGAAAAGTCCAAGGAGTGCACTTTGCAAGACATCAATCATGGCTTCAACTGATATCTTTCATTCCTTTGGTCATCTCTTGCTGTCTACAACTGAGGAAAATGCTTTCGACCAGCTGGTACTTCTTCTTTGTAGTCCTTTTTGTAGGAATTTTAGTCTAATGTTAAAGCATATTAAGTTTGTGAAATTTATTAGCTTATAAAGAAAGCTTCCTGATTTATTAAACTGAATATGTTCATATGCTTTTCTCCATCTAATTTCTAATTAATAGACTAGAAGATCCAAAATGCATGAAGTGACTCATGATTTGTGCATAAGACCAGTATGATTGTGATAATGAAACCTTAAATTGTATGATCTAATATGTAAGGCCAAGTTGCATTTCCGATAAATAGCTACTTAGTGATACACAGAATGGCCAAAGATTTACCTAAGGCTAGCTTTCTGAAGACAAGTGACAGACATTTCGTTTATCCCTTTGCAGCTGCTGCAGCTTTTGCTAAAAGCATCTCAAGACAAGCGATTCGTCTGTGAAGAAGCTGAAAAGGCACTCGAGAAAATGGCCATTTCCACATCCCCTCTTCCTTTACTCAAGAAGCTCCAGTCTTATGTGCATCATGCTAACCTTAGAGTCAGGGCCAAAGCCGCAGTTGCCATGTCAAAATGTGTCTCCAAGATGGTTAGCCAGTTCAAAATTCATATTTGAGTTGAGACATCAATCAATAAGTTGTTATAGTATACAGAATATATAATCGATATGAATGTCTAACTGATGTATTGTTATATCTAAATGCTGCTTATCAAATGCTATGTGTTGCATATCATTCCAGGGCATTGAAGTTATGAAAGAGTTTGGACTTGCAACTCTTCTTCAAATGGCAGCTGAATTGCTTAATGACAGACTGCCTGAAGCACGTGAAGCAGCTCGGAGCATGATTTACTCCATGTATGGTGAATTTTCAAATGACAGTGATCTGAAGAAGGATGATGATGAATCATCTGCAGCAGAGTCATGGCAAAATTTCTGTTCTTCAAGCTTGGCTCCCATTGCAGCACAGTCGGTAGCGAAGATTGTTTCGCTATAGCTCCTTTCATTTTTCAACTGTTTTTGGATTTTAGAGGGAAATTATCAACTATCCCATGCTACGTTGCTTTTTTCCTATGTATAAAATGCTCGTGTGGCATTTCAAGCTGACCAACTCTTAGAGATTTAATAAACATTCAGGTTTTCTTTAATGATTTGTGGAACATATAGTGTGTACATTATCTTTCTGTATATGCTTCTTTTTTATAATTCTCTAGAATCATAATCAAGCTTGTTAGACTATTTCCTCCTCGTCCTTTCTTTTGCTTCTCTTCACATCCCCATCCTACCATATATTAATGAAAAAAACTCTTAAATTTCAGAATTTCCTATGTAGCACCTCAAGTTTAAAAAATTCATGTGAAAAGACTATGTTAGCCTTTGTTTGACCCATCATCGTCTTTACTTCTTTGTGTCGCTTTCACCACCACCCTTGTGCCCTTGCTATAGACCCCAAGGGCATTGTGCGCACAAAGGGGTGTGGCCGACGGGGCTAGCTCGTGCGTGAAGGCACAAGCGTGGCCAATGAGGCTAGCCCACATGTGCATGCAACAGGGGAGGGGGATGATCGGTGGGGCTAGCCCACACGTGGAGGAGGGCAACCAATGTTGTTAGCCCGCAAGCAAAGGCATAGGCAATCATAAGAGGGGAGGGAGGGTAGCCAACGAGGCAAACCCCCACATGGAGGCATAGGTGCAGCCAATGAAGTCAACTCGCATGCAAAAGCAAAGGCACAACCAACAAGACTAGCCTATGGTCGAAAGACCACTAATGGGGCAAAGGCCAATGAGGCTAGCCCACATGTGCATGCAACGGGGGAGGAGGATGATCGGTGGGGCTAGCCCACACGTGGAGGCGGGCAACCAGTATTGCTAGCCCGCACGCAAAGGCATAGGCAACCATAGGAGGGGAGGGAGGGTAGCCGACGAGGCAAACCCCCACATGGAGGCATAGGTGCAGCCAATGAAGCCAACTCACATGCAAAAGCATAGGCACAGCCAACAAGACTAGCCTGCGGTCGAAAGACCACTAATGGGGCAAAGGCCAATGATCGATAAGGGTTTAATAATTATTTTTTAAAAAAGAACATTTCGTAATAATTTTTTAAAGTTGAGGCACTATATAAAAATTTCGTGAGAACACTTTGTCTATTTGTCTATATATATATATATATATATATATATATATATATATATATATATATATATATATATATTCTCTCTCTCTCTCTCTCTCTCTCTCTCTCTCTCTATCTCTATATATATATATATATATATATATATA